AGGCCGTTTAGGACGTCAAAGAGCACATCATGCATTTTCAAATTGCAACTTTGGAGCTTTATAACTCGAAAAGTACTCAATAAAGAAACATTTCATTATAGTGTTTTGGAAAGCTCTCGAGGTCAGCTACAAGAATATGTAATAAAAAATAGAGGATGCCATTAAAAAAAAATTGAGGTGACCTTCATGTGACTTTCAAATAATTTTTCAAGGTCAAACCAATGTCTTATGGTCCCCTCGAAACCAAACTTTTGTCTGACAAATTTTTCTCTCCCGGGCTTGGTTTTCGAAATATTCGACTGGATGGATTAAAATGGTCCACCCTATATAAATGAGATTTATACAAGTATTATAAACATGGGGATTTTTCTTTAATATGTTGTAGCTCCACGTAAGATTTCCGATATAAATATCGATTTTTCAGGTATTCGCGGAAGACGTGTATCATGTTTTTCGTGAAACGCTCAATCACACTCGTGACTCATGCTCCTCACGTCCATGAATGAAACGTCTGTGTATAAATTACTCGCGCATGCACGCTTTTGCGTGCACTCGTTGATTGATAATGTATGGAGAATTCAGAAATGGACAAGCCACATTTCACCTACATATATCTAGATTAGCGATTCAAAGTCGATTTCTTCTCCGTGAAAACGTCGAAAGAGATAGCGATGTTTCAATTTCTGATTCTGTGACGCGTTCTGCCACGTCTCATTAATTTGTATATAAGACGTAATCAATTGTACACAGAAAAAAGAAGGCTCCCACAACTAAAAACTAGCTCCCACAGCTAGTAAAAATTACCTGTCCATGTGATACAACTGAAATTTAGTTCATTTAGCTAATTTTTAAAGTCTCTATGCTTAATTTTTGCTCGTAAAGCTCCCAGAATTAAAAACTAGATCTGTTTAAAAAAAACTAAATTTCAGTTGTACATAGACCGCTAATTCCTTTTTTCCGTGTATATAACAAATTAAATATACGACATTGTGAATTGCATTTATTCACACTGTTGTTTACTTTGTTATTACACAGATAAAAATATATATTTTCGATTTATCGAAACTTTAGTTAAGCCTTGAAATGATTAATGAAAATCAGCGCGGCAATCTACATGTTAAATATTTCCACATCTGCATTTAGAGAAAAAATTAACCATAGCTAAAATATAGCTGTAGCAGCTATAATATGTCTCTGAAATAGGGACAATCGTTTCTTCGTTATAGTCGTTGCTACTATAGCTAAATTGATTAGCTATTTGAATTTAGACCATGAAAAATATTAACTAAATCAAATAGTATAAAATCATATTTACATTATTTACTAGAAACGTATTGCTTTCTTTTAACAGAAGGTGTCCCCTGTTAGTGTATGCTGACTTTATTAGAAATTTAGCCATTTACTTGATTTAATGTTATATCGTATTTGAAAAATATGCTTAAATGCTGATGGATTCGAATCCGAGACTTCTGGATCGCGAGTCTATCATTTTAAGTATTATACTTCGTCGATTGATATAAACATGTTTTGTATTACCTATATATGGTATAATCAGAGCACAGCTAATCAAGCTAACCTACTCATGTTAATAATTTCAGCTAATCAAATTGTACCCTTCAGCGAATTTTACCCCTAATAGCAAATTTTAGCAAAGTTTGAACTAGCTAATGAGATTTAGCAAATATTATTAATTTATTAAATCATTTCTTTGCGTATGATACCCTCAACGCAAGTTCCCGAATTACGATGAAATCTACTCACGATTAAACCAGGGATATATAAACATCATTTCCGCTCGTACATGTGGAAACTCATCTCCCGAAGAGCACTCGACTGTTTCGATGTTTTCATCAAGGAAAAGAAACGGATATCGCGGTAAAATTAAAAATTCCTTGAGAAAAAGGCGAAGACTAAGCAGATCTGAAACACAGCTTTACACGAGGAATCGAAAAGTGCTGCGTCTTTAGCGCGACGACGACGCGATATAACGATAGTGCATCAGCTGCATCTCGTCGACGGAACTTGTTACGATAAGCGGCGAAAGGATAGCAGTGTGTGCGAGGAGGGTGCCCGAGAGAAGCACGTGTAAAACAGTGTGTGTAAGAGAGCGTCTCTTAGCCTTTAGTCGGCGGTAAAGCGCTGCGCCTACTTTATGGCAACGGTTCTCCCTCCTCTCTCTCCCTCTCTCTGTCTTTCTTCCTCCCTCCCCCTTTGCCCCTCGCGCATCTATCACTCCGCGATTCTCCAACCCCCGTCTCTTAGAGCCGACTACCAGCGGCACTCCACAGGGTGTTTCACGACCTTTTCTTCAGAATTCAACCTATACAGAGACCTGCCGCCTTTCGATCCCCTTTCCCGAGCGCGAGAAGTCAAAAGCGCTTTTTCTCCCAGATATACCGCGTTATGTTTTTTCATTTATGTGTGCGACCGCGTTGCGGCGTACACGACGCGCGGATCGACAAGAGATAGACGGCAGGAGGGTGCGGAAAAGGGGAGGAAGAGCGGTTTACGATTTCCTACGTGCCGGGAACGCGACGATGCGCAACGGGAATTCTTATTACAGAGTAAAGCTCTTTACTTTAGCGCGAAATTCGCGTTCCATTCGGAAACGTGACTGCCGTCTTCACCGCGCGCGTGACTGCAATTAATCGTCGTTCCATTGAACGCGTACGTAAAAAGGCAAAAATTCGCTGTGTATAAACGGAACGATTTATCGAACGGCCTCGTAAGAATGATTAACCGTTGATTACCAAGGATTATCCCATTAAAACGAATCGAATTTAATCCCTGAACAGGTTAGGTTAAATTGGGTCGTATTTAGATTAGGTCGGATTATAACACCGGGACGATGTTTCACGCGACAAACGGCCGTCTTTTTTTCACAGAAAGGCGCGGATGATAAAAATGAGTAAAAACGACATTTCAACGTATATGAGACGCGAAGCGAAACGGCGCGTATTCATGAATATTGCCAAGAGAGAAGAGAGTTCAAATAGCACTTAGAATCGCCATAGCAAAGGCTTAAAGACCTCACCACCGAGTACGTGAGATCGTGTGGATGAGTTTTCCGATACGTTAATCGGGTCGGATAGCGTTCTCGTCCGACACTGATCTGCTCTCTATATTCGAAAGAGCGGAAACAGACGCGCTGTTTCTCGCTCCCTCGCACTCTTTTTCTCTTGTAGTAGTCGGCATCTATAAAAGCCCAAAAATAATCCCACTCGCATCGCGTATACTCGCCACTACCATCGACGGAAAGTTCCCTTTCTCTCTCTTTTTTTTCCCTTTTTCTTTCTTCCTCTCTTCAACCCCCCCCCCCCNTTCCCCACATGGCTCGGCAATGCATCCTACTTTACGACTAGTCGATAGCAATAAAAAATCACAAAACGTAAGCAGAAGGATCTTTCCGGTTCCAATCGGCTTTCTGCCACTCGATGGCTTAGCGGAGTTCTGTAGTTCTTTCAATAGTATATCTCATGACGCGTCAATATTTTCCAGATCAAATTTTTTTGTTTATTCTCGGAAGGAAAAAATTTATATGTGAAGAAAAGCGCAATATGTCCTGCTGAAAAATCACTTTATTGGTTTTACAGTTTTACGACTATCTCTTTTTTTTCCATCCATGCATCGCATCCATACATGATGTATACATTTAAAGCTGTCGTGTCCGCAATGAAGCTAGCATATTAATATTATATATAAGCATTGAATATATAGGTATATATAAGTATTAAAAATACAAGTATATATAGATATTAAATATTGTAATATA